CAGGTGGTTGTCTCCGTTCGTGTGATCGTTAGATTCTACGATTTGCAAAGTGTCGCGATTCGTGTCGCGTTCGACTGTGTTATTGGCGCGAAATTTTTAACGCGCCGTCAGTGAGGCATTCGTAGACCGAGGCGACACGTTGGGGATGGCTCGTGTCGCGTTTCGTTTCTTTCGTGTCTGATCTACCAGCGTGGAATTCGATAACGACGGGTTGATAACGTGGTGAAAATGTTGGTTTATTTGACCGCGACACGGTACGCTCGGAATACAAGCGGGTGATTCAGTGTAAAACCAGGCTGATGATCGTTAACCGATCGATCGACTGGGTTATTCTTGGATGCAGCACGTGGTGATAAATGTCATGCATTCGCGTTCGCGACGCTCGTTTCTGATTACGATGAAGGGGTGTTTTATGGGTTCGGAAGGCAGGAAATCTAGCGTAGGATAAACGCAGTGGACGCGTATGCGGTGTAACGATCGTTTCGGCGTTGATTTCGGGAAAAACGTGACCGAGTTTCGCGTGAAATGCTTTCTCGCGTTCGATTCGATGATTAATGTCGCGCGAAGGGTATCGACTGACACGGAAACTCGATTAGATTGATTAGACCGATTAGATCACACGCGATGAGAATCGAAGTAGTACAAGTGCATCGTGTTTGTTTTGTAACTTGAATTTCTCACTCGTGCCTCTGCCTTTCTTTCTTATTCCACATACGCTTTAGAATACTTTTCATTTATACCCTATTTATCAATTTCTCCGCCGTTCGAGTAGCGCGAAAATGACGTAGCGAAATTGCGAGCGATAACATCTAACAGAGCATTAACCTGATTATTTTTACATCGTAACGCGTGAATTCTAAGAATAAACCAGCCCCGTACGACTATGTTTCTCTGTGAATTTTAAACGAACCTGCTGCATACATGCATTTCGCGTATCGAGTAATCGATTGTTTGCAGTGCGAATATTCCTCATAAAATATTCGCCATTGAAAGATCCATCAGTGGCTATTTAAAACCATCGCGGACAAATCTCGAAACTCTATAAATACCCGAACACGTGTCTTTACTAATATAATTTACCTTCTCGAAGCTTTTTATTCATGGCTGACTTTACGCTACGTGATTCAAGAAAATACCACGCTTCGTACATCGCATTCCCGTACCGTTTACAAACGCTTGAATCCATTCAGCCATTCGTCACCAAACGCATTCTACTATGACCGTTAAAATTACATCGCATCCCTTCTACCACCCCGTAACGATTCGGGGTAATCGATACGTAATCCAGCGTTTTCCGCGGGAATACCGCAACGGGAATTCCCTGGAGCAGCCCGGTGTTCGCCGAAGTAACGATTCGGAAAGTCGAACCGAAGGGAAGAGATCGGAGGAACGATGTTTCGCGGCAGGGAAAGGTCGAGGATCGAAATTTCTCGGCGCAGCCCGGAGCGTTCCGCTTGAAACGAGGCTCGCGCAAAGTGAACATACTCGCGCGGTCCGCAAAAAACTGCCTGGCGTGGTGAAAAGCCGAGCAGTCGAGTGCTTTTCTTTGCTTATGAGCCCGACAAATCGGCAGGGCTGCCACCGAAATATTTATGCCACCACCGGCGAAGAGGGTGCGGAAGTGTCGCGTTCGCTTAACAAGCGCCGCGACACGGCGAAGAGGACGCAGGAAACGAAGCGGCGAACAAAGGCGAAAAGCGAGAAGAGAGGTCGGCCAGAAGCGAAGAGGAAGCGTGGAAGACGCGGCAAGAGTAAAATTAACGAGTAGCTGCCATCCGGGTGATGCATCGGAGATCTCGTGGATCAGATAAGGGAGAAAATTCGAAAGACCTGCAGGATTCTGAGAAAGGAGAATTATCTTTTTCGAGAATTTCCTCGAAATTCTCCCCGAAAGATTCCGAGAAATTTGAAAAATCCATCCGAGATTTCTCAAGAATTGCGAGAAAGCTCGAAGATCACTGTGTATCCGATATGAGAAGTACATCGGAGATACATCAAACGAAAAATAAAAAAATATATCTAAGAATCTTATTGAAGATGTTTCAAAGACTGCGAGAAAATTTGAAGAAAATTCGGTAAAATGGTAAGAAAATGCAGGAGCCAAAAGTTAGATAGAAATGTGGAAAAAATTTACTCCTCGGGTAAAATTCGAGCAGAAGGAAGAGGATAAAATTCGCGAAAGCTTTTACGTTAGAATTCGCAGTAACGGAAAAGACAGGTGAACCGCGCGTGTGGTGGAGATCTCGAGGAACGCGTAAAACAGCAGGCGCCACACCGTCTGCGACTAACGCTCGATAAACTACATTACGTGCTAACGCGTCGTGCCTTCTACTTCTTCCACTGCCGTTTTCCCTTCTTTTCCTTTTTTCCACCCACCCTGATCTCCTCTCCTTTTTCGTCGCATGTGCCTGGAACTGTGTCAGCAAGAACGAAGGTCCTATCGCGCGAGGGAGAAACTGTGTCGCAACCTCCATGGCGGCATCGACTTGGCGGGAATTAAAAAAACTGGAGCGTACATGTTATGGAAAACACGGGCCGATAATTAAGTGGTTCCGGTGAACCACGCGTTATCGCGATTTCGGCTTTTATTCCGCGAACGAAGGAAAAGAGAGAGAGAAGGAAAAAGACGGGAACAAAAGACCGCGTTTGCACGTCGATCCTTTCGCGCGTGTTCTCATTGTAGAACCACCGCCAAGTGCCCTGAAGATTCTTTTTTCCTTCCGCTGGCTCGTCGAAGAGGAAGTACCACGACCCCGGCGAGAGACCTCGCGTAATTGCGGCAATCGCGAGTTTTCGTGCTCGCACGCACTCTCGTTTAATACACGCTGGAAATCGGGGAGGGAAAAATCTGGTATAAGAGTGAAAGAGGACGAGGGAAGAAATTGGAATCGAGGGTGGGTAAATCGGGAAGATACCGCGGTGGTGGTAGTCGTAAAATTCGTTATGGAGCTCGTTGAAAGGGGGACACGACAAGATGGCGGTAAGAAAATTGAAGGGAAGAGCTTTCTATATCGCGACGCAATTAATTACGAGTTAGTGCCGTGAACTTTATGCTTTTTGTCTTCTCTACTTCTGTTGCTTGCCCCTCAAACTGTGTCACCTGTCCTGAAAGCCCTATGGCGAGGGAAACTGTGTCACAGCTGCGCCGGTGGTTCGCGTCGCACACCGATAGTCTCGAAGGAAAAACTGACCTGATCCATGTCGCGCCTCGTGCAAAGAAACTCTTTTGCTAATTACTCCTAGCCCCTTTCTTCTCGTCCTTCGAATTCGTGAGCGTTTCTCTCAATTTCCAGCTGAAAATCTGCCAGTTGCTTTTCGATTTATCGCTAATATCGATGTATCGAATTTCTTCTTAAGACATGTCATTCCAAACTTGGAACGTTTGAGGACCTGTCTAATGCGGAAGCTAAAGATTTGAAATTCGGGAAGACGATCTTCTCATAAGACAAAACGCGTTATGAACTCGAAGGAGTTTTAGGAAAAAATCGCTGAGTAGGTGGTACGATGAGAAACTAATATGATTTTTCGCGAAGAGTTCGATGCCGGGTATTGCAACAGATATGTCTGACGTAAAATTTTACGACTCGGCGAGATGGAAGAGATCGGACTCCCATCTCGATTTCATTCTTCCCCAAGACCTTCCTTTTAGGGTCTGTACGCAGTAGCGTAAAATACGAAATGAATATTCAGCGTATTTGAATTCCAGATTCAAAGAACGATTATGCATCTATTTTGCATCTGCTTTTGCCCCGCGATCCTAGATATTCCTCCGGATCGGACAACAGCATGGGCGTTTAATCGAAGTAAATAATTCATCGGCGGGGCGAAAATAAAACCAGCTCCACATTTCTTAAAACTGGCCGAGAGCCACTCTCGAAATCTCATTAAAGAAAGTTCATCGCGTCTGAATCTTCGACCCAGTTTCAACCGGTACGCATTCGAATAAAGTTTGCTCGGTGACGCGTTGCATTTGCGTACGATGTTCGAGCATCGATCTTCCTCTTCGCAGCAACGTGTCGGGAAACGTATAAAACAGCAGGTGCTTCTCCAATACGAATGCTTTCGTTGTGAAACTCGTGAATATAGACGTCGGGAAGGTAAAACGAAACGGAAAAATTTGCAAACGAAAGCAAAAACGAGAGTAAATGAGGAGCGGATCGACGAGATCTAGGATTTCTATTAAACGCTTCAGAGTTCAGCTCTAGATCAAGGAAGGGTAAGGGAAAGGAAGTTTTTTCGAATGAGAATCGGAAATTTTTGCCTCGCGAAATAGACAGTTTAATGTTTTGCTGGTGGATCCGGCGGATCCCGCCATCTCTGGACGATTATCCTGCAACAGAGATCCTCCTGATGGCAAGACGGTACATCAATGACGTCAAATGCGGCACTACACAGCGTCGTTGCAGTTCGATCAGGCGCATGTGCGGATCATCGATCGGTGCGCGTTGTCGCTGTACGCTTGGAGCCGCGCACCTCACACGAGGCGCAAAGCGACCGAAAGCAGAACACGCGCGCGACCAGCCTCGTCCTGCTGTAAAAAGAACACCGTGACACGAACTCGCGAGAAACTCTGACGTGGATATCCCCGAGATCGGGATGCGGAAGCCAGCCTGACCCTGAGCCTCGTCGGGATCCTTCGAATTTCGTCGCTGGAGTTGGCAACGACCGATCTATCCTACGATTTCGAGGGACCAATTCGGTGAAACGATAAATAAAATTTGACGCGAGAGAGAGAGCCTCGAGGATAGCGGCTGGTCGATCCACTGACAGCTGGAACGCGATAAATGTACGATGAAGGAGGATCGTTGAATAAACATCCACTCGTTTCCATGGAACAGATCGCTGGTGGTACGTACAGTCTACGAAAACTATAAATCCGTGTATCGATAAAGCGTGGATGCCCTGGAGCGTGCACAGCTCGTAGCTTCGATTTCGTTTAACGCCAGAGAGAGAGAGAGAGAGAGAGAGAGAGAGAGGGGATCGGAGAGTGCGTCGAAAGATGCTGCGACAATGATGTAGAGAATCGAGCGCGGCGCGTAATCGCGATGAGCAGGCAGACGTAGGATGTGAGCTCTCGAAATAGCTGATCGTTCCATCGACATCAGGATTCTCTTGGTGATCGAACTGAACTCGACAAACCGGGCACGATGCCGAAGCAAGTGCCAGTGGAGAACTTGGTGATCCCGCCGCAGGATGGTCGGATCTGCGGGACCATTTGCATCTGTCAGATGACCGCGGTCCTGTCCTCCGTCGCCCTGGTCTATCTCACCGTGGCCATCTACATGCCGAGCACCAGAGCCTTTCAATCAGGCATCAGCGAGGTGCCAGTGATGTGCACGACGATACGCGCGGTGAACGCGGACAACTGTGAATGGGGTAGCTGCGGAGAATGGTGTCTGTCGAAAACATCCGGGCCCTGCGTCCAGATTCACGTGAACCTTCGCAAGAATGGCTCGACGATACTGTTAGCGAACTGTACCAACACCACGAACAAGACTTGTTACGGTATCGACCAGGAGAACGCGAAGAAATCGAAATGCATCGCGGACGAGTGTCGAAATCTGACCGGTACGTTCAATTGTTCGTCCGGCGTGTGTATCAACATAACCGACGCGTTCGAGTGCATATTCCACGACACCGATCCACCGTTGAAGTGTTCCGGTAGACGCGGCAAGATAACCTGCATAGACATAGACGGTCTGTTCAACTGTAACCGCGGCACTTGCGAGCGAATCAGAACCCCGTACAACTGCGATCGTAGGTGCGTGGATATCCCGACCAGGAACAAGAACATGATCCTATTGAGCGGTGACAAGGTTTATCTGAGTCAATGCGAGAGAGCTATAGACGTTCAGACGAATCGAGAGATCTGGCACGAGGATCGAGGCGACGTCATGATGGCGTCCTGTTACGGGATATTCAATTCCACCCTGGGTGTCGAGGCTGTCGATTGCATCAACGGTTCCGTGCTAGAGAAAGACCTCCTCACCGACCTCACCAACTTCACCTATCTGTCCTATCTGAACATATTCGCGACGAAACCATTGGACGAGACCAGAATGGTCGCACCGCCCGAGCAGGACCTCATTATAGCCAACGAGAGTCGCCTGCTGATTAATCTAGAAGGCTGCGTCAACACCCTTCGCGAGGAATGCAAGGAATTTCTTCACGAATACGGGAAAGATGGATCAGATCATAACGCACGCGCTAGATTCCCGTGTTACTACGCCGAGAGTAACACCGGGGTGGTGGTGTCCCGATTCAACCTGGAGACCACCTATAAGGAGTTCCTGATCGCGTTGCTGTTGCCCAGTATCTTGTTCGTCGTCAGTTGTCTGACGTTGATCTTTTGTCAGAGGACCGTGGTGGTCGGCGACGATGCCAAGATGAGATTCAAGGGCACGGTTGGCGCACTCGTGTCGATAGAGAAGAGCGCTTCGGGTAACCTAGGGGATGCTGGCGGAGGAAACTCTGCTATGGCGCTCTGAGATCCGTCACGTAAGAATTGTTAAACAGCAACGAGACGACGGTTATAGAGCTCCCGGTTGTAATAACGAACGGTTTCATCCCGGTTTTCCGACCAGGTTTAACACCAATCGGACACGTATCGAAACTCTTAAGCATCTGCCGGGGAGAACGAGAGATCGGAGTTATTCAAAATTGGACTATTCCTCGCCAGATTCGAGTCACTGTTAGGTCACGACGACGTTTCGTATCTCGTGATTTTAAATTTCCTTTAGACGACTCTTCTTTAAAAAAAAAAAAAAGAAAAACTTTGTACCTTTGCTATCTAATGCACATACGTAGTTGAGCAAAGAATCAATGAAGCTATAGCTCGAACGAACACTTGTCTAGCGATTCCAATAATGCAGCGAAGTTGCCAACGCTCAGAAAAGTCTGCACGATGTTTTAGAGAACGTATTCTCCGTTTAGCAGTATTTTCATGCGACGTTTTCTTCTTTGTTCACAGGCATTCCCCTCCTGGAGGAGAGTCCGGCTCGTCAGTCGATATTCTCCCTGCGCGGGCATTATTAAGGTGTGGGGAGGGGGGGAACGCGTGGTTAAAATTCTCATCTTGCAAAAAAATAAAAACTACAAAAGAAAACATACAAATACTTCTGCAAAAAGCGCAAACTATCTTTGAAAATCGAGCAAAAAGAAAAAAGAGCGAGAGAGCAAGCGGTCAAGAACAAGTACCAAAGAAAAAAAAGCAACAAGATTTTTCCTACTTGCACTGCCTGCACAAAAAAAAGAAAAAAGAAAAAAGAGAAGTACACATTCGAGAGCACACGTGCTTTTTTTCAAATATCCGCGTCGCTGCCAACACACACAACCGCGCACATGCGCGCGGATGAATCGCTTCGAGAGGTTCGTATGACCGGATAACGCGACACTGCTCTCGCCTGTTTCTCTCCTGCTGACAAGGAGATTGGATCCTGAATTTGGACTCGACCAATCATATTTCGGATACGACGGCAAACGTTAACTAGGAACAAAAAGAAAAACCAAGGAAAGCAAAAGGAACAACAGACAATTCGGCGTCTTTTACACGTGACACGACATTCGTCGGTAGCTTTTAAGTGTCCCCCTTCTGATTGATTCGCCGTGACAGTAGATAAGAACCACTTATTACATATAGCTCTGCGTATCGAGGCTAAGCAACTCTTATTGTAATCACACCGACACTACCAACCACTTTGATACCCGAAGGACGTGCCTTGCTGGTAAATGATCGATCCGAGACGATCCCTGCACAGCTGGCAACAAGCCTACAGAGAGATCTTTGATAGACTCGCCGCTTAGTGCATCTTTTGAAAGTATTTCAACCGTACGCTTGCCATATAAAGTTAATTCAATTTAATCAAACAACAATAAGTTGAACGATCGAAGCTCATCGTCGGCCTATAGCGAGAAACACGAATCCGATGACCCGGTCAATCGTTTTATTCCAAAGCTGCTGAGAGAGAGAGAGAGAGAGAGAGAGACAGAAAAGACGAGACTCCGCGACGACATCGAAGGAAAGAAAGCGTCGTGGAAAATCGAGATAGGTTCGACTGGAGGTCTCCCGAAGAGGAGAAAGTTTTATAAATTGAACGAAGAGGGTCCTAGTGACCCACCAAACGGAGCAATCATTGATTCCGACGAGTCAACGGTGATCATGGGTGCCCAGGAGGAGGACACCAAGTCCAGCACCATGGGCAGGGTGCTATCGGTGGTAGAAATCGCGTCTCTAGTGGAGAAAGCGAAGTTCTACACATCGCTCTGCCTGGGCACCACCGCCATTCTTGCTGTCTTTGCCTTTCTTTTTCTAATCCCTTTCGTCGTGGAACCCGCCATCTCCACGATTCTGGCCGATTTCTCTCCTCACGCCGTGGCCTGCGTCGTCACCGATCACGTTTACGCCGAGGGACTGAAGAACTGTTCTTGGGCAAGCTGTAGAGAAGGTACGTATACGTCATGGTACCAGAATTTCATTAGAAATACCCCTTGCTTCTTCGTGGAGAATTTTACATGGCGCGAATAATCAATGGGGTATCTTTGTCAAAGTAATATAGCCAGATTATGCCTAGTTCTTTATGATTATACGGTGCGTTTCGAATTCCTAGATTCTAGGGAGTTACCGATGAATTTTCTGGGTCGCAGGTTGTACCAGCGCCGCGCTTCGTTGCCATCAGATCAGGGTGAATTACACGAGGCTGACGTTCGAAGAATTCATGGCGAAACCACTGGGCTCCATTCCCTGGGACGTCTCGGACACGAAATTCTTTGTGAACACGGTAGGCTGTGGGTACCCACCCAGGGTGAACTGTTCCGATTTTGCCAAGAAATACGGATATTCGAACATGGGAAAGATATTTCGCTGCTATTACAGCAGAACACATCCAGAGACTGTCGTTGCAAGGTATAATTACGCTGTCGCATTCGTGACAACTACGCGGGCGGAAACACGAAACGTGTCATGTCCGCGGAACATCGAGGTTAATGCGGAGTATAGCGTGTCACAGTAATTTTCAATAGTCTCGGATGCTTTTGTGTGCAGAAAATTGCACTCGGTTTCAACTTTTCAACGTTGACACGTTATCGCGATCAACTTTGTCCGTTAGACGTTACATTTTCCAGTCTTTTTCTCCATTTTAATGGAATCGAAGGACACTCCTTTGTTCGCGAAGTTGAAACTCATAGTTGAAGAATGCTTAGAGAATTTGCATTACGCATTTACAAATCGACCCAATCTCTTTTCGACGAAGATGATTTCTATTTCGAACATTTCCAGGTACTCTTGGAATGAAAACCTGTGGTACCTAGTGCTGGCCTTGGTAGTGCCTATATTTCTTTTCGGAATGTCCCTCGTTGTATTATGCTACTGGTACTGTCCACCGATGGGCAAGACTTGTGGAGGACCAGGGTGTAACTTTATTGACAAGAACGCGAGAAAGGAAGAGTAAGTAACGTGTATGTATGCAGTGCCTGGTGCGGCTAGAAGGACCCATATTTTATCGACCCCTTAGAATTGCATCGAGGAATTATCGTCTGTCGATAAAACGTTATTCGTCTATCGTTTGCTCGTTTCAACCATTACGAAACGATACAAGGTGTAACGAAGAGAAACGAAAGTCGGCACGCTGATAGGTTAGGTTTCTTCTCCGGAAGAAAACGGTGGAAGATAATTCCTCGAGGCAACGCTTCCGCAATGCAGTTTGCCAAAGTGATCCTGCTGTATTCTCTATCGCAAGTTTTCTGTTGCATCCGTACAGAATCCTGGGAGAGGACGAGTTCGAGGAGGACGAGGAGGAATACTGACTGCTACCAAGGGCTCACCCCCCAGCGCGGGAGTGACGCCGAAGGAATTACTGAGAATCCCCAGCGTACTTCACGTTCTAAATTTAAGCGATCGAAAGCAATAGCAGCGTTAGGGAAACCCCGGCAACGAAGACAAATGCAATTCGTTTGTAAATCAGAGAGCTACTCTGACTTCTTTCAAACTTCCACAACTTCCAAAATCGACCTTCGTCTATCGCAATAAATTGCACTTGCGCTTAGCTCGATTGCTTTCATTAAACGAAATTGGTAACCACGCTGAACTCTGCTCTTCTTCAATCTCGCCTATGGGACCGCGCTCGACCCTCGCGGTCGGTCCAAAACGAATTCTGTCCATCTCGAACTCGCGATAAATCAAAAAATTCAACCTTCTACTACACCTACCGCGGAAACAAAAGCGACTCCTTTTCCGAACATTTCTCCCGTGATAAAAAAAAGTGCAATACGAGCCGAAATTAGGCTAAGACCGAACCGTTCGACCATCTTGGATCGTACATCGAAAGTGCATTTTCCAAAGCGTTTGTCCTTACGAATTAATTCGAGATGACTGCGATATTTTTACACCGTGTTACCAGGGAACGGGAACGATTACCTTCTCGTGCAATCACTTCGAAAGAGTGACCGCGACAGTTTTACTATACCGATCGCGGTATCATACTTCTCGCGAGATTTTTTATACGCGAACATAATAATCTCTGACGGCGGGTTCGTTGATCTACGAGGTAAAGTATATGTCGGTCGATCGATCATGGTCGATCCGAACGGAGAGCTCAGTCTCGATCATCTACCAGTATTTTGAATGAGGTTCAGAGATGCGATGTAACAAGGTGCGCCTTCCTACAACGTGATAACTTTAAACGTAAGGAACAAATATTCAAGTGGCACGTTTTAACGCAGCATTCGTTCGTTATAGAATAAGTGATGTGCTTGTGTACGTATTTGTGACTCGTGTTTAAGCAGACTCGGGTAAGATGACGTTCGATGATGGTAAATTAGAATCGCGAGAAGGTTAGAGTCTTTCGACGGAAGAGAGATATTTCGTAGTAATTGGACGAAGCGTAGCGTGGTTTCGAGGTGTTCGCTGCGCGAAATATCATTTTACCCAGATCTGCGTTTATCTGTGCTGACGATCGACGAAAACGAGGCAACATCGTGGAAAGCCAGTACGTTGCTGAGCAGTGTCGACTCGTCGAGCATTTGAACAGAGAAAAAAATCAAAATCCTGTGCAGGCTCGTGTCACGCGAATGTACGTGCCAGCACGTCCATTTCTGCGTTTCAAATTGGAGCGTTCGAGATCGATAACGAAATTCGTGTCAGCGACGAGGAACGATAACGAGTCGAAAGGAACGAGGAGAATAGAAAATTGAGAAAATATTTTTGATTCGAGGAATATACGAGGACGCGAGCTTTCGCGTACGATGGGAAAGAAGCAAATGGAACGAGAGAAGAGGGAATACGGTATTTTTGCAAGTAACGGAAAGGAGTAATGGAAAATGTCGATTAGAGAGGTAGAATTTTGGCGGTAAATTTGAAGCGACGCGAATGAAACGCAGGAAATGCAGGTGCAGTGACGCGATGGCCTGCAGGATCTGTCTTCGCACCAAAGGATAAAAATTCGTAGGTTAAGTTTAGCTCGTAAGTTAAGTCTGTGAATACGATCGATCATCGTATCGGGATCGGTCCAATGATTGTTACAAATTTTTTACGCGGACGCGAGTCGCGTCGTGGTTCTAGTTAGAACGAACGAACATATTTGCATAAAGCGCCAGGTGCACGCATGCACGCGTCGTGCGGTAGTAGTACATAGCTGTAGATATCGGTTTTTCAGTTGAATTTTTCGAAAGGGACGAGCGATCTGCGTTCCATAAGCTGCGAAACAACGTGACCCAGCGAGCAAATAACTTAGCGAATTTATTAGCAATAATTTTCCATTTTAACTTAGAAGGGGTCTCGAAATATCTGATCAATTCGTTCGGTGTACAGTGATTTCATACGATATGAACTCGACTTTGAATGCCGGACTACAGAAAACGAACACACGACGCACATTAACGAAGGGAAATTACGTAAATGCCATATAAGTTTAATTACTCGAAAAAGCGTACAAAATAATGATCTCTTTTCAACAAGACGATACACGGTACTGTTGTTAATCAAGCGAAATGTCTGATATTTATAATATACGATCTCTCGACGTTTCTAAAGTCCAGTCCATATTCTACGAAACGACCTGTACGAATTAAAAATCGGTAAACAGCCATCGAAGGTATTTAACGTAAAATTCGGTATTATTAGGCTAAAGACCAACGTCGATACGTTCATTAGGATTATCGATATCTTATTTCTAGAGTACTTATCAACGAGTTCGGTAGCTTTAATCGTCACGACGATATCGTACGCCACTAAATCGTTAAGTCTCGTTAGCTTTACGCGGATCGAATGCCAGCGAGTTGAGGTTGTTTCGAAGCGTACGGAAGCTACGTCGCGAGCCTGTACATCTAGAATGGTTGTGAATCCTTACTCGGCCTTACTCTAGGCATCCAGCGAGTTGGCATAATTCGCCTCGAGTCAGATGCGAATTCCAATGGAGCCTGCGTTTCGGCACTCACTCCCCACTTCAAGCTTGCTAATCGATTTCCGTTTCGCGCGAGTCGGCGGTCCACCGGTCCATCCGTCGATCCATCGATCTCCGCACGCGCGCGTCTTTCAAATTAAACCTCGTCGAACGATATCAAAATGGAATCTTCGCTCTCGCGCCTTTCTAGCGTCACGTGAAATTTTTGCTCAAAGACGCTCGACTCACGGGACGATGAGGCTGAACGATCGACGCCGAGAAAAAGGGAACAGGCAAACAAGGAATTGGGAAACTTGGATTAGCTTTTTGAACGGGTCTCGAGACACTGATTAGCAGCTAGCATGATTCAGGCTATAATTTGTCGACGATCGAGCGTTAAATTCCGACCGTCGAACCACTCAACGATCGTCGTCTCTCTTGGATCGATAAACGAGGGAGGATTTTACTCGATCTCCGCTCCAAGTGACCGGTTTCCGGACCACGAGACACTTCCGATCGTCGGGCCGTACTTGCAATTAGACGTCATTGTGCTTGATCAACGTACACGCGCGAATAACGAGGATCTTTTCGGGCATTCAAGCACAAATCCGTGGGCTGCCGCCTGGTTCGCAAGCCCACGGGAGAAGGGCTCATTCGAATTCAAGCACTTCCATATCTCTCATATCAGATCGGTCTAGTGCCAATTCGTTAGTCGGTTAGAATCTCGCGTGTGATCATCGAGTTTAACGTATTTAGAATCCACATCGGTCGCGGGAGAAGACGTCGATGCGATTAGGTAGGCTAATACGAAATTCTAGGGAAACGAGATGAAACGTGATAAAAGTGATAATCGTGAACGAGTACATTTATGATGGGCTACGAAAACGTTGATGAGCGGTTCGAATTAATCGGTGAATGGCGGAATCATGGGGAAAGAGAATCTGCATAGACGGTTACGGATTAGAAAGCGGCGATTAACTGTAAAGTCTCTATTTCTATCGATACTTATGTATAATACGCTCTATCGCATGTTAATTGATTATTCTAACGTACCTGCACTTACTGTAAGCTATTACATCCATCCCCTTCCTGTTTTTTATCCTACTCCTCTTTTCCTTCCCTTTCTCCACCAATTTCTACTAGCTGATAGACGCTCCTTCATCATTATTCCTCCCTCTCTTCTCTTTACGCTGGTCCTCTCTTTCTATCTTACTTCTTAATATCTTTCCAACCGACGATCTATAAGGTAACGAAAAACAGGCAAAACAAAAGACGAAGAACGCTGTTCGAGAAAGCTTCCCGGTTCTTTTCTCGAGAATTTTAGATCTCATCGAAGGAAACATTATTGTTCACCGCTTCGTGCGTACCATTATAAATCTTCAATACATTGTACATAATATATTATATATAACGTACTCGTTCTGCGATACTAACGGACTATTGTAAATAAAAAAGATTGTACGATTTCGTTTGAAATATACAGGAACACGTTTTCTGTTAAATCCAGTTTACCTCTTCTCTTATTTCCATCCCGTACATCCACGCGCCGATGAATTTTTATCACCGGCAAAATAGTTGATCGCGGCATACGTCATAGAGATTTTCAGCAATTTTTGTTACGAAATGTGTCAAAGGAAATATTCGGTTTTCTACATGGACCGATGGGTTCTGTGTTCGAGCGTGTTTATCTTTCGAATGTACCTATCCACGTAACGTTTAGCAATCACTCGAAAAGCTTTCAAGCTCCGATATGTATTTCGATTCACCCTAAGCTTTCGAAAATGTTACGTCACGATAACGAAATGTCGAACGGTCAAGTTCACCATCTATGCTAGATTTATCAGAATTTTTTCGTTACCTCTGTTTACGGCTCTGTGTTTCATTCTTCTTTTTCCCCATTCGTTGCTTCGATGCTGAGGCTTAATCGGGCTCGAGGCAAGGAAGCTTGCAAACACGTAACGTATTAACCCCTAGCACTATGATCCAAGTTCCGATATCGCGTGCAAATCGACAGAGTCGGTCACACGTCGAATCGTTTCGAAGAATAACACGCGACTGAGGCAGGAAAACACCTGCGAAGATTAACCAGCAGCCTGTTCGACCCTGTCAATGTTTACGTTTCGTCCTAACCACGCCTCTAGTCAGCGATACTCGTGTTCAGTACGATTTCCTTAGCCCGAGGCCCACGCGAGTGTTTGATCACACAGAGTTTACGTTAGCACGATGCCTCTCACAGGTCCCGGAAGCTTCCGCAAACATTTATGCTGCCTTAAACCGTTCAAACTCTGGTGAAATTATAATGCGAGGTGGCCGGCGAATTTTCGGATTGTTCAATGCTGGAATTACGTCAGACAGAGGGAAACTTGCTAACGAGAATAAGCTACGGTACGCGTAACGATGGAGTGCCTCGCTCGCGAATGACGCTATGAATATTGAAATCGAGTTATTCTTAACTTCTACTTCGGAACCTTGGCGAATGCTACGAGCATAAGAAGATCGTCTGGATACGACTGATTAAGAACTTTTCCGCGGTGAAAAACTTTCTCATTGCATACATTTTTATGTCAATATCGAGGGAAAGGTAGGGAAAAGTACTTGTACATATTAGCGAAAAGTTGTAATAAATTTATAGTAATGTATACGATTGAAGGGAATACTATAAAGACTCTACTGTAAAACCTCTGAAAATAGATTTACCTAACTCGATACCCTAGATTATCCTATAACAGGATTGACGAACTTAATCGAATAACTCCTGATACTTCGATGTACAGCAGAGAAAGACACTGACAAAACAGTGAAGGTATCGCAGGTAAAAGAATCCGAGGTGACAAAGTTACGTATGTATGTTATAGCTTACTGTGCACGGGATTAGGCTCAGCTACTGATCGGTTGTCAACCACGGTCTACTGACTTCTTCTAGACGATACTCTAGACGATACTATTTACCACGTCGTAGATAACGCAAAATAAAAATGAAAGGAAGAGGAAGAAAAGCGAGAGCCACAAGACATGTCACACCGATGTCTCAGCCACTATTATGTCTCCGCTGAGTATATTTTGCGTCTTTGTCCCACGAAATAAAATCCTACGTACACTTAATCACCCTTGTCACCTCGACCAGTCCTCTCGAAAGACCCTCGACATCAGCAAAACACGACATACCCGAGTATCCGAGAAGCAACAGTGTCTGAACCTATCAGAGCCACGACAACCTACTCAAGAAACGTCCGGAAACCTTCTGAGCCAGCGGACGCGACATCAAACGAATACGAGTGCTCGAGAAAGAAGCGGAGGTCAGCATTGACCCGTCTAATTAATCAGCTTTGCACGAGAAGTCGTATTCGCTGGGAAAGCAGTGAACGGTTTGGTAGCAAGCTCGGAACATTCGAGCGCCTCGGGCGGCTCTGTTTGCTGGCTTGGACGCAGAGGAACCCACCGACAAGCCCCCATAAACGCGAGACCTCGCTTCAGGGCGCAAGCTCGGTATGGGGGAGCTTGCGAGCCATACACTCGACGGCCAGCCTTGTTTTCAAACAGTCGTCCGGATTGCGTGGGTGCCTCGCGGTCGTTCGACGCTGCACGGCTGTCGGGGGAGTTCTCGTTCTCCTCGCCGATGTCAACGCACCACGGGAAGCAATGACATCGAGAAAGATGGATGGAAATGAGCACCCGGCCAACTCGCGTCGTTATTGACCGGTTCTTATCCACTCGATCTCGAAGGCGCCGACGAGCTTTGGATCGCGAGGCTCCCGTTGTTATCGATAGATACCGAGGATCGTGCGGTTGCAGAGGGACTTTGGGGGACTCCAGTGAACCCTAGTGAATTTCAGTGTGACTCGTGCACGTCCACGATCTGTCGGTGATCGTTTGCTGCGATCGAGGAGATTACAGGTAGAGTTTATTCATGCATGGTACTGATCACGTTGTGCATGGTGTGCGACGAGGGTGGTGGTTGGAACGATGGTTTGTTTATTTTTGAAATAATTCAAATTTGGATGGAGCGGTACTCGGGTGAAGAGGGACTCGTAAGGTATAAAACAGAGTGATATTTAGTCGGCCGTTCTAGATCGAAGGTGACATTTAGTGCAAGTCCCAGTAGGCTCGAAGGTAAAAGACGTCGATCGTATCGTGGGCGCGTTTAATAGTAAGTGCTCGCGTAAAGACTGCTTCGAGGACGTGTCGTTGTAGACAAAAGTTTGAAAGATACAAGGTTTATACTGTGCAAGTCGTTTGTCCCTATCGCCTATCTCTCGCGATTTCGGTAACTATACCCTCAGCTTATAATACTTTATTATCGATCATCGCGATCGTAATCCGTATCGCAAAACTTTGGAAAACGTAATTTTTATGAAGTTAACAACTGACCTGGAAATTTGTGCTCCTATCCCTGATTTTATTTCTAAATTAAAATATCCCGATGTTAGTCATCGTTCGATTTCTAGAATAATTACACGCTTCTAAAATTAAAATACCTCGATGTTAATTATTATCAGATTTCTATTCGCGTGTCAGAAAAATTAAAATATCCCTATGTCAATTATTATCAGATCTTTATTCGCACGAAGCTTGCCTATCAAATCTCGGGATCCAACGTATCCAGCCCACGGAATACTTGAAAGAGGGTAGTCTCGATCGTCGATAACACGCTACAGTAGCCATAATAAATATACCATGATACTCGTATGCCAACATCGGTTCGCCTGCTCCTCGAATTCCCTTTGAAGTCGACTTAAGTATCTTCGGATCGTCTTTGCGCGAGTACTTGCAAGAAACCCGACAAAGGGCCAGTTTACTCGAGCTTGAAAGTTTCCCCAAATCGATACGTATTATTCTCGAATGGCCGTTAAGCGATCGTCCCTTACGCGGTAATGGGATTACGAGTATCTAATTGCACGTCATCCAGTGGAGTGCACCTGTTTACACCAGCGCTGCGCCTAATGAAGTTAAACCCCGGTAATTGCCTCAACTGCATTAAGCTTGATACGCGAATGGCACGGGGCAAAAAAGACAGCGCTGGGAACGAAGTTAGGCAGGTGACCAGAAACAGAAGCCGAAACCAGTCCAAGTAATAGTGTCTAATACCCGAAATAAAATACCAATTAACCATTTCCCCTGCTCTTTCTATTTCTCGAAGTTAGGAATATTCCTCGTAACGTTCATCACGCTCACCCACGCTGATATTCTCTCATCCCTTTTATTCCACGAAAATGAATCGATAATTTCCAAGACTTCTTGGATATTACGAGGATTCGCGAGAACGATGAGTCGAAAATCGATGGCTCGAAAGGCTACCAGTCCATCGCGATATGATTCCTTAACGAGGGTCCGCGTGTAAAGGCTAAATGTCTAGAAGGGGGCTTCCGACGAAGCCGCTCGATCGATGCAAACTTTCCGACCGTTCGAAACTTCGTGAACTTTCGCTTTTCAATGCTCCATTTTCACGGCGGAACGCGTTTTCATTTCGCCGAGATTTCGAGCCGAGCGACGACTCGTCGGAATGGTATTCGCGATGCCAGCAAGCATCCGATCGCGTGTCGGTTCTCGGACCTTATGTAAAATCAGCCATCTTACATAACCGGAAAATCAATGCTCCACGTGACCTTTCATACTCCGGCTGATATCACTCAATCAAGGGCGAAGTGTCCTTTTTTCGCTTCGCCGAAGGTACCCCGAACGCTGGATCGATCGGTTTATCTAGGGTCCCGTACTTGGGGGAAAGTAAACAGTTTCTAGTGCATATGTGCGATTCGGTTCGGCCAGGTCGAAGTCTCGTAGCACGCCGGAAACACTAGAATCGATGAAACACGACCCGTATTCTTCGGAAGAATGCCTGTGGCCGAGTGGCGAGCCACTGTCGAGACACCTGTTGTCAGGTGGTCTCTATCCTGGAAAATTCAACGGCCGAGGCAACTTTCTTCGGGAATAATTCATGACCGCCGCGATCGTAAATTAAATTACATCCTTAAATGATACTCCTTCGCCTTTTCTTCCTGCTCTCACGCGGAAATGACGAACGATCCACGCAAATAACTACTTCCGTCCTTTGGTTTAAGATGATAATCGACGACACTGATGGGTCCAGCCTTTTAACAAACCGTGACAAATCTCTCCGCGACGTGAAAATTACGGGTCTAATTGAGAAAACGCAAGCTTGCCTTTTCTCCTTAGATATTTACGTGGAAAATTTTATGCTCCGTGATATAGCATCTACGATATAATATCTGGTGTGGGTCAGGTTTGGGTCGCGTTAACAATTCCTTTTCACATCGTATTTCATTTTTCTACCGAAAACTCGAAATCCAAGCGTTTAGAAATTTTTTCCCTCTTTTTATCACGTTCCTACGATAAATACTAGGATTTTCCAACCTTCAGTCTCCAGGTATACGCGTATATCCGAAATAAAAATTTTCGAGCTTTCATTTGATCCACAGCTCTCTGGAATTAAACAGTTTCTCGCAGCCCCTGGATGACGAATTCAAACGCGAACGACATCCGACGAGAAACATCGATTGCTCGTACTCGGCTCGGCTGTTTCGCAATTTATCAAGAGATCCGTATAAATCAAAGTCATCCTAATCGATCGCATTTCCATTGCAGAAAAGCAGCGTAAACAGCCATCGTTGTTCGGAGCGCCGTGAACATTGCTCGCCTCGGTGAACCCTGGCAAAATATGCGTCGATGACAAATAGAGTGTCCTTTTATCGAGAAACGATTCGTGCCGGGCGAACCGAGAAATCGTCGGGGCTCGAGGTGGATCCGTACTTGATGAGAAGAGACTCGAGTTAATCCGAGGAATTACCGTTGGGTCATCGGTTTCACGGCGGAAAAGAACTTCGAGGGATCGAATCGGACGCTCGCGATGGGTCGGAAGCACAAGCGTCGCCTGATACCGGAACAGGATCGCAGGATATGCGGCAGCATCTGCTTCTGTCAGTTCACCATTGTCATCAGCTGCGTGGCGTTGGTTTATCTGAGCGTGGCAATCTATATGCCGTCCCACAGGTAAACGACAACAAGCTGCATCGATTAATTGACCAAGGCCGATAGTAATTAAGTTACGACTCGTCCGGCCTTAATTTCCTCGGAGATCTATAACTCGCGCGACCTTAACCGTCTCTGTTCTATCCTTTTGTCTCTGCCAACAATGAAAGGCCGTCTTTGTTTTCTCATAAAGCTTTTTCCGCGAGTCACGGTTATCGGGGTAGTAGGCTGTTGCAATTTGCGTGCGGTAATTGGTAACCGATAACACGATAACGAAGGTAACGACAGATCGTATTCCAGCTGATCTGCAACTTCCAACGTTTGCATGATCTTTGAGACTGCATAGGTTAAAGTTCAGGTTGCACATCGCGAGCGTCTTCTCGGAAGCTTCCGGCTAGTATGAATTATGGATCACGTGTACTGGTACACGGGTATAGTTGTTCGTATTTTTTCTTTTTTCCTTTTTCCCTTCCTTTTTTTATACCGGGTTGTACTTTAGAGATATCTCTCGATCACTCGAGGCTATACGAGCGGTACGATATTAACGGTATATCGAGAAATTCATCGGCGTGGATACGCGGAATATCGCGTGTCATCGTGCTAAATTCAAACCGCTCTCGGGGAAATATTAACGAAGGCGACGCAATTAATTTCCAGAGCCTTTCACGCCGGGATCGATCCCGATCCAGTCATGTGCCAAACCGTTAATACCACCTTAACTAATAATTGCGGCTGGGCGAGCTGCGGAGAATGGTGCTTGACGAGAACCACCGGATTTTGCCCCCAGATCCACGCGACCGTAAGGAGAAATGGGACGGACATCGTTTTCGAGAACTGCACGAAATTCGGCAGCATATCCTGCCCACAGGTATGTCATTAAATTGTCCAGTCGATAACAGTAAATCGAATGCATATTATATTTCCATTATTTATATCCATCTTTCTATTTTCTGTTTAACATCTCGTTATTATTAACTTCTAATTTGCAATTTTTCTTCTTTTCATTTCCTATTTTTATATTTTTATATTCCCCAGCGACAGTTCACACGGAAGAGAACGACTCTCGAAATTGTTGAAAAACGTGTCCCTCGCGTAAATTTAATTTAATCCCTCGCTATAAAAAGATCGCATCGTATGAGGAAGAAAATTTCTAACCGTGCCTGACAAGAAACCGATGATAGATTTAAACTGAACGGAATAGCGAGCAAGTAGAATAAGGGAGCCCATAGCCGGACACGTTTTACGACCAGTTCACACGCTCCTGCGGCTCCAGATGCGATACGTTAGAAATTAGCTTGGGCGAAAAAGGCTCGGATAAAAAGCTGACACGCATCTATACGTCCATCCGCAATTCCACGTCGGGTAGTTAATTTTTCAAAGCCACTCCCACTTATTTTCACCCGTAACGTACACCGATACGTATTTCATAACGTTTCTAAAAGCACTTTGCATAATAAATTTTACAAGATCGAGCGGATACCGTTGAAAAATACACGAACACCGTCTTGCATCGGTGATAAGCCTAATTCGCGTGAAATTGAGTTGCTGAAACACGCTCGGCGCCCACTCGAGACGTGAAATGGCACGTAACGTAAATCTTCCGGGCGCGTGCATCGTCAAACGTTTCCTGAATTTTTCACGTCGATATCGGTTTTTCCGTCGCCCTCGTCGATGCACTCGCGTGTAATAACACCCCGTACACCACTCTCAGGTGTAACGCCCTGGTCGGGCAAATAGCACTCAGCCCATTCGCAAACAGACGTCCGTGTGTGCCGTTCCCATCTCGCGGGAGATGCAGTGCTGAATAAATTGATTCGTATAACTTAAAAGCCACCATTCCCGTGGGATCGTGCGGAAAAATAAGTTTCACGGATCAGCGAGAAGTTGTTAAGCGATAAGCACGATGGACTTCGCAGCGGACAACAATTTTCCATTATCCGTGGTCGCCTGGAATCGATGGTACCCCGTTTCAACGTCCGTTCATTGAAAACGATACACCCGATCCTATCGCCAAACGTTTCTCAACGTCAGACGCTCCTCTCTCCCTCTCTCTCTCTTAGTCCCTCTCTCACTCGACGATCCCTTCGTTATTTCGCTTCGGGCAATTACGAAATCGCAATTACGTTATCTCTCGTATCGACCATCCCCGCCGACCTCCATCTTCCCGTCGAGCCTACAATACACCGGAAGTGATCAAATTGCACGCGATAAAAGCCCTAAACGGCGGCCTCACCCGAAGATCGCTATTACTCGGGCGTTCGTTCGACTTTCAGAATTCTATTTCACCACTTCTCCATTGAACGTCGAGTCTGTCAACTCGAAAGTCGATTTCTCGCCATTTCTCACTCATCGCCACTTGGCGCTCATTGTTCGCCCGATCGCGATCGCTATCGCGCGCCTTGTTGCGTTGATTGGTCCTCGATGACCGTTCTAAAACTTCATTTCCCGAGGTTCTCGCGCTTCCGGCCCGTTGCGAATCGATCGGATGCGTTCAAAGGCGAGCCACGTTTTTAATTAACCCAACTACGAGTAGTTCGATGAACGTTGCTTTAACGGGATTAACCGGGAAAAATCCGTTTACATCGGCTGAAAGAATCGAGGTGGAGGAACAGAGTGCTTTAACGCGCCTTCTAGCGCTATTTCACGCGCGTGAACTTTCGTTGACATGGTCGAAAGCGAGCGTGGCCGGTAAAGAAGTTAGATCGATGGAAGATCGTCACGCCACGGGGTGAGAAAAGAGTTGAAAAAGGGTGGAAAAATATGGGATAAAACGTGGAGGATCGAGTCGTGTGACGGACAGGTTATGTTAATAAACGTGTCCACTGTTCGTAGCATGCAGGAAGTTCAGTGAGGAGAAGCGATCGACCGATTCCCCTTATCTCTGTGCCGTCTCGAGACACTCCTTGCGTGACACGCACAGTACTTGGCTCTGTCAGCACCTTGAGCTTTCGCGACCGCGTCGGAGATATCGCGTCCATTGTCTCGATAGAAATTTTTCGACGAAACCGAGTCATCGTGGGCGAGACGATGTTGCTCGTTGTAACTCATCGCGGTATAAGTTACATCGCGATAAGCGAGTTATGCTAATGTAACGAACATGGCCCGCCAGACCGGTTACTTCGATGCGCTAACCTCGTTACCGGCTACGTAACGCTTCCGATCGGGTTCGTCGTCTTGAATTACTTTCTAATGGCGTGTTCTACTCGCCTGCCACACCTTTTATCGATCATCTTAGCCTCACGCATCGTGATTTCGAACAGTGCACTTTTCGCGGCTCCGCTCGAGTATTTACGGGGACACGATACCGTAAATAAAACCGAGCCTCCCGTTATCCAGAGATGAAAAACGCTGATGGAAGTATCGCTTCGAACCCGTGACATCGAAAGAGAAATATCCAGCATATTTCTATGGAAATGTAACTTCTGCGTATCACGAAATTTGCCTCGTTCATCGGAGAGCTCGCAACTAGCGTGACAAAGGATAATGAAGCTAATCTAGAACTAGATGTCAATCATGTTGAATTTCTATCTGCGAGAAACGCACAGAGGACAGAGGAATATGAATGGCTCTCGAGGGAGCTTCGCTGAAAATAGGAGAAGTGCGTTGCGTGACTTTTATGCCTCTAGAAGCGACTGTCCCTTCCAAAATTCCATGTCACCATGTAAGTAACTAGCTAACGAGGTTAGGTTTGCCAACACGGTACGAATAGACGCGTCAATTTCTACGTGACCCATCCCCTGCTCCATTTTCTCAAATTATTACGTGGATGAAAGTGTACTTCTTCTTTCAGGTGAACATAGCGTCACTGAAGAGATACAATTGCAACAATGGCAGCGAGTGCAGCGTACTCTCAGGGGTGTTCAATTGCAGCCTTGGCCACTGCGTGAACATCAGCGAGCTAATGTTGTGCCATCACAAGGCTGACGGCATGGTCGTGGACAGCGAGAAGGACAACATGAAGCTGAATGGCTACTTCAGCTGTCAGAACTCGAGATGCACGAAAATCAAGAGCCCCTTCACCTGCGATCGTTACTGCCCGAAGATCGCGACGTCTGACGTGAACGTGTTCCTCATGGAGGACGACAACGTCATCGTCGCGAAATGCGAACGCGGCCTAGCTTTGAACAAAGCGAATGGAAATCTGCCTGGCACCAGGCTAACCACGCCTGTGCAAGTTTGGGATAGCCGGAATGGAAGCATCATTGCCAGCTGCTTGGTGGTGACTCAAGAGATGAACGAAGTAAGGTAAATATCCTTTAACGATTATCAATGAATCGTTCGTTAATTGGAACACGTCGAGAATTATGGTTTTAGAGAGAAGAAAATCTTTTCAGTGGCGTATAAAAGGAGGTAAAACGACGAGTGCTTAATCTAAAGATCGTTTAAATATTTCCGTAGTCAGTTCCTTCTGAGATGAAAACGAGCTACTTTCGTGCCACGAAAATAATTATTCGTGTAATGGAAACGTTGAAATAGCTGCCACTGTAAAATAAATTTCAACCGGTCTCTTTCACCGTAATTTCATTACGCTTTCCTCGACGCAGCGAGTAACGATAAATGGCTTGTAGCATTGCGGACACAATTGCAAGTCTAACGAAGTTCATACTGGAAAGCCGTTGCATACCGTCAGCATTTTAGAAATTTCCCTTTGCCTCTGTAACTTCGATATATTTGAGAAACTTGCAAGAAAATTTAACATGGAAAATTCGATTCGACCGTGCTCACGGAATAGAGCGAACAGCCTCGAGTGGTAGTACCATTGGAACAAACTGTTGCATAGCCTCGTGCCACTCGTTTAGTCGATACTCGTTAATGATGTCACTCCATCGCGACAGCTAAGATCGCGAATGCAAATCCGGTGGGAGGGGCGTGTAACACTTTCGAGTAAACTCGGGAATTGTCTGGCGAAGCGATCAAGACGTCAGAGAGCAAACAGTTAGGCGTATCCATTAGGTGTGGGAATTAATTCCAAGCCTTTGGACTTGTGTTCCATTATACCCTCTCTAATAACCGTTTTAAATTCAACGATTCTCCTTTAATTACTTTATCGAATATCGATCAAGTTTAACTCGATCAGATTATTCCAGTTTCGAAGAAATATCAACCGTGTTCTTTAAAGAAGATATTAAATTAATTTAATGCAATTGACATATCGTATCATCGATCCAAGTAAATTCGTGTGACCACCCAGACCGATTCAGCTGGTCGCGAGGGAAGTGCCCAGAAAGGTTCGACGCACTTGGTCACGTCGGGGTGAAGGCTTCCCTAGGGCTAAATGGGCCGAGTCCCTTCGCTCATGAGTACTTTGTCCCGTGTATTCTCTTCCTTTCAGTCCAGGCGATTCGCAGGTTTTCGAAACTAAATGAAGGCTAAATGGGCCGAGTCCCTTCACTCATGAGTACTTTGTCCCGTGTATTCTCTTCCTTTCAGTCCAGGCGATTCGCAGGTTTTCGAAAAGATGAGCCTCGAGGTAAAAGGAGAAGCCACACAATGGACCGACGAAAGCTGTCTACCAAAAGATTCCTCGTCGTGCAAACTCACACGATAAAACGCCAATCTGTCTCCCTTTCCAAGTCGATATTCGATTCCGTGGCTCTTAAAACGAGCACGAAAGCCTCCCATAGAAATTCTTTGAGCGTGAAATAACCGAGCGTGTTCGCTAGCCTGAATTCCGCTATAATTCATATTCGTGGTCCTCTGCTGGCAGACAATTGCATTCGATTCACGCACCAATTTGCACCAATAGCTTCCGTCTTCGGCTTCGTAAACGATTTCGTGCGAGTTACTAAACGCGAAATTCGTTACCGAATTTGCGTCCCCGATTTCGGGTATTTTCGATCGAACTCGTGTCACCGGCTTCAACCCTTTGCTGATCGGGGTTCGTGAAAATTCTTCGCGTCTCCGATCGGCAGTTTCGGCATCATGCATTTGGTTATTGCGGAAACACGTGATATTTCCATACATTCGCCGTCTTGGGGCGTACAAGACGCCGATAAGGGTATTTCCATGGCAACCATTGATCCTGCGGCTCTGCCCGCCGATTCACCCCTATCTTCGGGTTTTTCTGACTCGTGTGTTTTCCCCGCGTTTCTTTTATTTCGATACTTCATTCGTTCCACTCTTTTATGTCTACGAACGCCCACTCGCCGAGGCCGCGCGAGGGTGAAACGGTGGATGACTATGAACGACAGGCAACAACGGGGAAAAGTTCTTACGCGAGACACCGAATAAAAACCGTCGTTCCGAAAGCTGTGTATTCAAGCATTCGCGGCCGATGGAAGTGAGATTCCTTTCGAAATGTGTTTGCGAAGGAACGTTTTATCGCGAAAGATAGGGGGAATACTGCTCCTCTTTGTCAACAACTTGTTTTCAGGATAGGACGCGACACGAGCGAAAAATATCGTATTAAAAGCAAACTGAATTCGAAAGTACAAAGCGTCGTTGAAAAGGGGAGAACGTGCGTTGAAAATGCACTCGGAAATGCGAATATCTATGTAGAATACCCTTTCGTACCAAGCTCTGTGATCGTGTTGGTAATTACCAAAGTGGTTTAAGTAAAACACGTGAGAGAAATGATTTTATCTTGTATTCTCTATCGCGTTCGTTTATTTTGCGATGAAAAAGTTAACGACGATAAGTAATTAATTCGTTCTAATTCACGATATTGTAGAGTCACGCAGTCTCTACTACGCTGGGGAGTACTTTGGCTCAAAAATTTCGCTGCTTAAGGACTGGGACCAGCTCGATCTCCATTCTAACTAACTCTATCTCTCGAACTCTTAAAAACAATTTTTACTAACTCTTAAAAACTCTTATTAGACTGCAAACTAACTCCACATCTTCCAGAACGGGCCTTTTTAAGCCCGTCTGGAAGGCAAGGGCCTCTCCCGAAGGAGGAGAAAACTCCCTCTACGCCAAGGTCAGGGATGGAGAAGACTCCTTCTTGCGGGTTAGGCCCTGCGAAGTGTCACCCTCACGGGGACAACAGGGAAAGCCGAAGTTGCGTGAGGCCATTTTACATGGCCTGGCCCCGACCTCCTACGTCCCATCTGGTAGCCAGACCCTAACGGATCCTCTAGACCTGGTCCCTTATGACTATCGCGCCCTAATGAATAGAACTAGTCTAAAAATATCCTACAATATATTTCTATCTATTTATTCGAAGACGTACGGGAAGCTTCGTGCGGGAAAATGGTACCTTTTCGTTCAGATTTGTTGAATTTTCAACTATATTTCCTAGTCGAAAGTATAATCGTATATCGACTAGTTTAGTTTCTTCGCCGAAGAAGAAATACACAAAGCATTCTCGACGTCGGTGCATAAATCGTGTGGTTTCTTCTTCGCAGCACGCAGGACTGCGTGAACGGCACGTTGTTAAAGGACATCCAGGTGCCTCAGCCTAGCATCAACTTCACGAGCTTTCTGACTATATACGAGAAGAGCTTGCAGTACCCGTTGGATCCGACGAACGACTACGTGCCGGCGCAACGATCGCTCACGATCTACAATAGTTCTCGCCTCTATATCAACTTCGAGGGTTGCGTCAACACCCTGAAAGGGGAATGTAAAGATTTCCTCGCCAGTCATGGCCGGGACGGCGACAATCAGACGGCGCAGAGCAGATACCCCTGTTACTACAACAAGGTACGACATTTCCTGAAATGCATCATTTTCTTCGCGAAACAAGTCAGCTTCCTTAACCTTCCTCCGCGAAAATTTATTTTCCCTTCGAAGCGAAGTGCTTCCCCTAAACGACTTCTCGGAATACATATTGCTTCGTGAGTTTTCATCCTGCGAGATTTTTAACCTCTTCGAACGAATCATCTTTCTAACCTGCTAACATCTTTGCTGATACATTTTTCTTGAAATCCCTGTGATTTTTAAATCGTAACGTTTATGTATTACAATTCGTAGTCCAGACTTTCATTGTCGAGGCAAGAGGCGATTTTTCTTATCACCAAAGGCTCTTCTGAAAAGAGCAGATAGCAACCTGGTTAAAAGGCTCGAAGGGGTTGCAATAAAGTTTACAACTGAGCTCGCGGCAGAGCAATTTCATTAGAAAAACAATTGCTACGTTTACGACTTCGTCTAATCAGGCTTCCAATCCAATCGCAGGCTATTTGCGTTCGGGTATATTTTAATTCGATGAAACTTCGATGGAATCGATATCGGGGGGAAGTTTTAGGCGCGGGAGGAAAATTACGCAACACCGAACAAGAATTACGGAGAATTTTCTTGCAATTAAACTTTTCGAGTGCGCGCTAACAATGAGAACCGACCAGGCCGCGTCTCCGACCGATTCCATGGATGCACACTGGCGAGGGTGTTGCGTAATGGCTGCTTCGTTTTGCACGGTACAGGGCACGGGGTTTAATGAGCGATTCGAGTGGAACTCCCGTCTTATTCAACGACGTGTATTTTTATTTCCCCGGGCGGAAATACGTCGCGTTGTTCGGTTTTCCTTAATTAGATCTTCGACGAAATTATTTCGCAACGTAGAGTGTCGCTGGTAGACTCTCCACGATGCAGTCCCTCGTCTTTCATTTTCGCCAATTAAAGTACAGAGTCAAACGAGACTCCACGCGTTTGATTATGTCTTTTTATTTATTTCTTTTATTTTTCTATTTTTCTTCTCCTTTTTCTCCGCCTCGTAGACTCCCTTCGCGGTGTACGATTTCGGGTAGGCCTCGAATTATACCGTAAAACGCCTGCTTGGTTCACGCGTGCACACTGGCAGAATTTTTAATGGGAAACCGTGAAAGTGGACCGCAAACGTATATTTTATTCATCGCCCTCTGTCTCGCATACGATTCTGTCATCGGAACGTTACCCGCTGTTACCGGTCGTGCGTCGATTGTTGATGTATCCTGATGCATTTTCGAGCGAGTAACGTGGAATAAATTGTAAACAATGCTCGAAATCCGCACGATGAATCTCTGCCTGACGTAACTCGGAATTAATAGAGACAGCTGTCGAAATGTGAAACACGAATTCGAAATCTCTATTAATTGTACCTCTATCGAGAAATTAAATAATTTATTAATTAAGTCAATCGTATTAATACTTCGACCAAGCATTTTTATTATATTTCGAAGACTAAGGAAAATTCATACAAGGATAATTTATACGTTCTAAATCAATATTGCAAATTTCGATATTAGAAAAACGTGAACGAGTATAATAAATTGGTTACACGGTTATTAATATAAACCTTGGACGTGGATCGTGATAACAGAGATAATTAAACGAAGACAAAGAATCGCAGGATGAAATGCAATAGGATAAAATTGAGGAAATTAAATATAATGGAAACTACAAAAGTGGTTCATGGGTAAACTCTCGGTATTTAATTAAATATTTCAAAGCCATTCGAAAACAGGGATTCCACGAGACCGATGAAAGGGAATATGTTTGGCTAAATTAGACTGTACTCCGTGAACAATGCGCTTCTTTGAGAGAAAGCGAGTGAAAGAGGAGAAGGAATAGGATAAACGTAAAGAAAGCGTAGCGTCCGACACAGAGAAAATTCTATGAGATGGCTATTTCATTTTTCATCGAGCATTCGTGCCGGTGGTAACCTAAATCTTAAATTTCTCGAGAACCGGCTCTTTTCTTTACCCTTGGCCCTGCATCGTCGGAACGTCCTTCCAGACTTAAGCTTTTCACAGGTTGCCCGGCGAAGAGATATGGAAAATAGATCAAAGCAGTTGCAAACTACCGTATCATTGCGTTGTGTCGGGATATGCATGAGAAATTTATAAACGTTGTACAAGGTAATCGTGTATCATACGTTTGATGTTTCCCTCCAGCCGTGACACATAATTAGAGAGCAAATACCGTGTGGATCGATTTGCCGTTAACGCTACATCGAGCTCCTACTTTCGCATTTACCATCGTGTCATTAGTATGAATTTGAACGACAAAAAATATCGCGCATATTTACCTTGTCATCTCGTTTAATCACTGCTAGACCATTTACGCGAAGTATCCATTTAATTCGCTAAGGAATACAGAGAGAGTTCCAGGTTATGATTTTACTGGTCGAATTTGATCAGGAAATTCCTTAGGAATGAATAGAATAGAAAGAAATGTCGTTTGAGCATGAGGATCCTTGGAAGAAAGAGTGCATATAGGACGAATTGATACGTATGGTGAAGTGAGAGAAAGAATTAGGGTCGATGATTGATTCATTGACAGGAATAGTGAACTTTTGATATATGGTATTTCCTAGTTAGTATATCGATAGCCAATCTATCCCTGTCTCGATAACTACGAGTCTATTATCATTACCTTCCATAATCTTCTACATCTAACAAAAGTTGCATTGACCCAAGTTCCATGTACCTCCTTACTTATAGTCAAGAAAAGAAAGATAAAGAAAAGAAAAAGAATAGCTGGAACACCTCGTACGCGTGAGAATACATTGAACTGCGAATGATCGAAATACCTTGCCATCCAGTTCGCTAACCCCGGCATACCTCAATCTAAAAACGATATCTCGGCAAACACGGCTGGAAACCTTGGATGGTCATCAAACGTGCCATTTCCACGATTCCAAGCATCCGCAAGAATCCAGATAGGAACGGGTCGGGTGCACGTTATTTCATGGTCATTCGTAGCTATGTACCAGTTATCGTCAATTACTCGTCATACTTCCGCCATTTCCCACGCGGCTTCTAACGCCATTTGTTCCAGAACAACTCGTTCCTAGTCGTGGCACGTTTCGACCTGAACAAGACGCGGACCGAATTGCTGATCGCCATCATCGTGCCCTCGGGCCTGTTCGTGATCAGTCTGACGACGCTGGTTATCATAACGCGGTCGGTGCAGGTGGGCGACGACGCGAAAATGCGTTGCCGTTACTGCGTCGACAAGCAAGAGGTCGAGGGCGAGGACGAAGGACTGGTCGAGGCTACACCCTCGTCGTCGCAAGGTCAGGTGAACGAGAACGAGATCAAAAGCATGGCACTTTAGCAGTTTAAGCCATCCGGGACGAGCAGCGTGCTCCGTTACGAGAGGGTGCCATTGATCGACACCGACGAAGCCGAGGACTCCTTTTAAGCCGAGCAGCGTCGCGATTCAAAAATCCAGTGAATCCGATCGATCACTCTTTCTCCACCGAAAGTCAACCTTAAAATCAACCCCGAAGTGAATCCACGAAGAGGATCGCGGGAATGATCGCTAAATTCGATCGCGTTACCCGATAGACGCCATTCGCTCAGACGGAAACTAATCGTTGAATTCGAAACGATTCTAACGATTTCTACTGTTCGCGGAACGATGAAAAGTGTACGCGTGTACCTTGCTGCGTGATGAAATCGACCGACAAAACCGAGGAAGACGTCGAACGTAAACCTTACTTTAATCGTGCAAACGCTTCAGCTGCATCGCACTGTTTGCAAAGCCGACTGAACGCTTTCCGCAAACGACCACCGACTCGATTAACCGCTATACCTTTGCAACGAGATAGTAGATGAATAAGTAAGCGATCGAGGACGTCGCGTAAATTCATGTGGCTTCGGTGTTGGATCGGGAGCGGCCATCGAGATAGGGGGCGCGCGTGATTTATAACGGCTTACACTTGGCAAATAAAGAAGACTGATTTTTCTCGGCGAACACGATCAGCTTTTATCCGTCAGGGTCTTTGCGAAGAAATTAATCGGCGTTTGTTCAATTGTATCGAAAGTATCGACGGTTTCCAACATGCATTCTCATCGTGCGCGAGATCTCGTTTCTACAAGAGCGCACAATAAATGTGTTCGAATTGATTATTTTCTTATTTTCTCGATATCACTCGGTCCTCTTAGAAGTCACGCTCGATGAAACGGAGGAAACCGGAAATGTTTGAAAATGTTTGGAAAGGCTTGAAAATACTCGTGGCACAAACGTTTCTGACGGACGAATCGGTCAAATATTCGTAGAGAGTATATTGAAAGGATGTGTTACGATTAGGATGGATCTCGGATCGTCTTCCCGATGGAAAGAGAAATGGAGGAAGGCGGGATTTCAAAAGTCACCCACAATAGGGGCCAAAGTATTCAAGTAGAAATTTAATCGATCGTTCGTACACGTCCTGTGGATGTTTTACATTATTATCACCGATGCCTTCAATCTGCGACTGCTTCGACTAATCGAACCGACGAAACGACGTTCAATCTGTGCACCGAGCTAACTCTTACAGGAATTACGATCACAGATCGGTTCTCTGAACGTTTCAATTCGAGAAAATATCTCGTACTTTGCCTTCAATCAGAAAAATCCTTTCCGAATTAACAATAAGATTACCAACGACGGACTCACTTTCGAGGATCCACCTGGGACTTAAGGTAGCGATCGAAGGAAGAAAGTTCGAATTGAATGTATCTATAATACGTTCATGGTATCGTTGGAAATATTAGGAATATTGAAAAGTGACCATATACGCGATATGTATTTTCTGACCACGTAAGTGTATCTCGTAGAGGGAAGAAAATAAGGTGGAGGTAGGGTGAAGAAGAGCACCAACTCGCGCAACAATAAAATATTATTAACCGTATTGGATAGCTGTAAAAGATTCGTGTTTCTCCGTGCGCGATAAGTTAAGGCATGAGCGAAAATGTGCCGCAATGCTTTCGATGTGAATGGTAGATTAGCGAGGAAATTTATTCTGTAGAAGTTATCCGTTAGGTTTCCAATTTTCGAGCGTACACTGAAACCGATTTAGCCTCGGTTGATCTCGAGTTTCGACTGTCAACGAACGTACACTTACATTTCACACTTGTGGTGTTGTAAAGCAAAACGTAGATTATAAACGAGTAGACATTAAATATCGATCACCATCGTTAGCTGTATTTCATCTCGAACGCTACGACTGCCTACATGAGGAGCTATGGCGCCATTTGTTTGCGAATAATGCAATTATTAATACGACAAACTCCATAGAATATGACTTCGAACACCAGGGAATTATCCAAGTATCAGTGTGTTACTTGGACATTGACAAAATTAATTTAAATATTTGCGAAATTATGGGTTATTTCTTCTGGAAGAGTATGACTTCAATTTTGACAATAAAATTAAAAGTTTATATATATTAATATATATTAAAAGATATATAAAGATTCGAAATTTCTCAGCTTCGAAATTAATACGGTATCAGTGTGTTATTTGGACACTGACAAAATTAATTTAAATAATTGTGAAACTTTGAATTATTTCTTCTGGAAGGGTGTGACTTCAATTTTAATAATAAAATTAAAAGGTATATTTTAGGTACGATAATATCGTAAATGAATGGTGCCATTTTTCGCTAGCCTGGAAGTTTCTGTTCATAAACTAAATGTAAATATAACATGTACATTGATTAAAGATAAGGGTGGTAGTTGCTGTGTGAATAAATGTGTCATTCAAAAGTTGCTGCTTGAAGTTGTTCGTTGTTGTATTGTAACATAATGAAAAATAATCGATCTCTTGTAATATATCGATACCTACTTAACAGCAATTTATTTCGTGTCAAACTTCGCGCAGATTCATTAATTATTTTTCTATTTTGGAAATAATATCTCACCTGTCGACGATAGGAAGATAGAAGGAATTTTCTCCACGATCGTTGAATTAAGATCTTATCCGAGGTGTAATTTTTCATTCCATTTCCGCGTTTCATAGATGTACAATAGAGTATAAGCTAGTACATGACATGTAGAAGAAGAAGAGATATTGTTTTTTCATTGTATGTGAAGTACGAACAACCAATAGGGTTATTTTTCAGATTCGTCACGTTCTATGTGCCTTCTTCCGTTTACGCTATAGTCGATAAATTATTATAATCACTCGTGTCTTCGAATAGCGTAACTCTTTCGCTATAGGAAACCTCCGCGAATCAAAAGTATTCTTATAGGAAAATTTCTCCATTGACTTCACAGGGAACAATAAACCAACAACTCGAGTCGACTGTAAATTTACGTGATCGTTAAACGAAATTTCGAATGAAAACGGGCCAAAAGAGACTTTTTTTAATGCATCTGATTGTTCAGCGAAAGGGTTAAGTAAATTACGTCTGAAATGTAACAAATCGATCTATACTTATACGAACAAACAATATAAATATATATTTATGTTATATCCGTTTATCGTCTGAGTATATTTGTAATAATATATATATGTACGAAGTAACGCAACATACATGTGTCGTTTATAATAAAATAATTGTTTATCAAATTTCCGAATTTTTACGTCATCGTTCCCCTATTTCGTCCTCTATTTTATTTCAGAATATCACGATTCGTGCATCGACACTGTGAAACGTGAGACTAGGTACCAAAACGCAACGATTAGGTACACCTTGTTGCATATTCAATAAACTACGAAAGGCATGGCGTATTTTAAATTGCTGTTTCGTTATTTCACGTGCAGGAGACGATTATTAAGGGAACGATTTGTTATGCATTGCATCGGCAGAAAACAAGGGTGCATGTTGAACGTACACGCGATCGAAATGCATTTATGCGATGCAAACAAACACCGAGGGACGCAATGGAGCAATTACTTTCCACGCTAAATGGTAATCATTCCGAGTTGCAAATGTGTCGAACGGTTTCGTAACCACTTTTTCGAAAAGAAGAATCGTTTCTTTATAGATCTGATCGACACTGTTTTCTAAGTTGGGGCACTCCTATCCATGTAAAAACACAGGGTTGCAATGGCCGAAATGTGGTTCGATCGATGAATATTATTTTCATTGAACCTAACGAAAATCTAATTAAACTCCTATGTACCGTGTCCGGTCGAGTTTCGATTTTATGTAAAATTTCCTCTACCTCGTGTTAACACGATCCTACTTTGTTCGCCGAGTTCATGGAAAACCCTGTGCATTTGCATTTTCGAAAATATCAGTTTCTGTAATTGCGATCGCCATTGCTAATAATAATAAAATTCAAGAATTTCACCGATTTTTATTAAATAACTTAGTGTTTAAAGAGTTCATTTGAAGCATTCATAAGACCCTTTATTAAACAAATTTTTTAAATAAGGTCCTTTATTAAAAATTATGCTATTTTATAAGCAACGATTTAATATGTTTTATTGGGATTCAATTGGTTTTAAAAGTATCGAAATTAATGGTTATCTCGAATAAATTCGAGTACGAGTCCTACCGGAATTTATTAGGAAATACTAATGAATCGAGGGTACTAAATTACGTACGGTAGCTGGAATAGAAGCATGCATATAAATAAGTATTATTCTGCTCCTTTTAACTCGCATATTCGTATCACGCACGCGTTCTCGTCGCACGATTATAAATGAAACATTTATTGGGTTCTACGGAAATATTTGCCATTCCTTCCCTCCGTATCACGAGCTATCTTTCAATTATACGAAACCATTGTTTGTCACGTATAAAATTACCTCTCGAGACTTTTGCACGAACAGATCGGTTTTATGGAGGCTCTTAAAAAGTAACGTAAGTATCGGGAACAAAAATACAAGAATGTTATCGTGAATTGCGTGTCTCACTGCACTTCTAGTCGAGGACACGTCTCTGAGAAGCTACGCAATAAGAAACAAGACGATTGTATTTACGACATGTACTGCTCTGATAAATGAACACTTGTTCGAAGAAATGCAGTATTAATAAGTCTTGCGAAAATACCTGACGATATAGAAATTAAAATTTAGTTTCACAATACCGCAAAAGTGTTCTAAAACTATACTATCCAACAAATTTTAAGTTTTCCTCTAATCTGTAATATCAATTAGGCGATATGAACCCTCAGTTTCCGAAAAATATGAGTTTCTCTAACAAGGCATGATTTTTGGGTAAAATGAAGTATTACATAAAAATTGAGAACGTTAGAAAATTCACTGTTTTCTTGGAAATTAGGTGAGAGGACGCAAAGTTTGTAACTGTCCATATTCATAATTATTTCTGCTTCTAAATAACTATGATTGGTCATCAAAGACTCAATTTATATGGAAACTTAGAGTCATTGAAATGAGAGTGTTGCGGA